AAAGCAGAAAGTCAAGGCCAGCTCTTACGTATTTATTTACACTCTAATCTGGGGGGGGATGGGGGAAGGGGAGAAAAAAATAAAAAAGAAAGAGCACACAGCTGCCATCCCAAAAACAGACCTCCCATCTGCCACCCACGATTTGCATGTCACCTTCTCCAGGCTCATTTGTACTTCATTAACTGCCATTGACTTAACAAGATTTATGCAAATGACACCATAGGAGCTCGCTAACTCCCACTGCAATCAAGTGATTATGTATGTACAATTCTCCACAGCAATGAAAAATTAATACATGACAAGCCCCCTCACCGCTGAGCTGAGCTTCTTGCTTTTATTTTTCTTGTTGTGCTTTTTTTTTTTATTTGAATATGCCCTACTGATAAAGATTTAGCAAGATTTCAGAAAACAAAGTAATCTTCCCAAAATGCTACAAACCACCCCCATCTTAGAAAGTATGTCACCCTAAACTGTACAGCTTCAAAATATTCACTCAGGCTACCAGGAACGAGTCTTCGTTTTCAGAATAAATGGTTTTTGAACAGAGGATACTCCAAAAAGAGTAAGCCATTCACCTTAAGTTTGCTTTAAGGGTAGTATTAGCAATGTTGAAGAAGACAGCTTTAAATATTTAGTGTAAGTGCTTATTTTTCAACAGTACAGGACTTCCTATGGATTTTAACTTTGGGCCAATACTGTTCCAGACATTTTATGACTCAATTTGATTAGAAGAAGATATTTAAATAGCACACAAGTGAGACTTCTCGCAATGCTAAAAGCACGGGATTTAAGGCATGCTGATAACACTAGGCATGATGAAGACATTTGTACCTCCCCAGGAAATTGGCCTTCCCAAAATTTCACTCACTTTAAGACTATTTTGGCAGAAGTTAGCAACCACATTTTAAAAATATGCCTGTTTTTCATTGCCTACATTTTGGGTTTCTGCTGGGAGCAAGAAGGTTCATCAGAACAGCTTTATATGACTTAGCCCAATAAAACCATATTTAGCACTGCAGTGAAAAGTGATTTTTAACATTTAGAAAGGACAGAAAGAACAAGAGCATTAACACTTTTCAACCAGATTGCTTTCAGTTAAGGATAAAGCCCTGAAGAAGTGAGGTGTTTCCTTGGATGGAAATAAGCCAATTACAATTTTACTTATTTCCCCCCAAACTCTCAGGGATTCAGTGACCGAGAATTCAGGAATTCAGGAGCAGGTTGCAACTCTTGGCTTCTTTTGACCAAAAGCCACACCAAACTCCAGTATCTGTGCGGGTTGGTATCTGGGTCCCAGAAAGGCTGTAATACACAATTACAAGCAACTCCTTATGACAGCACAGCTCTCTTCACAGGTGTGTCTGTGCATTTAGAGAGAAACCAGGAGAGAAATTAAGTGCCCCCACAAAACCCCCACTCCTCTACCAGTTTAAACTGGTCCAAACATACAAAAGCATCACTCTGACGACAGATATCAACCACAGCTGTGGTGGTTCAACAGCTGCAGTACAGACCTGATCTATGAAGAAAATGGTAGGTGAGACAAATGACAAACTAATATTTTCTACATTTCTGAGAAAGTTGATTTTTTCCATACTTTTTTTCCTGTGCTCACCCCACCACACACAGACAGACTTGACTATTACCAGCTCTTCCTCCCCCTTTTCATGTATCCCTCTAGCCCTGGAAGAAATTTCCTTTTTTTCCTCAAAACCAGAACATTTCCAATCTCCAATTAACTTGTTTTTTGTTTTGTTTGTAGTTTTTTGTGTGTTGTTCTGTGAGTTTTCAGGATTTTTGTTTTGGTTTGTGGGTTTTTTAAAGTTGGGAAATAGTATTTCTGATTTTGGGGAGACCCTGGGTTTCAACATCCAAATACTAAGACTTCTCTTTATTCAATTTTTTGTCATTATATTTTTTTAAGTATCAGTGAACTGAGAACACAAAATCCACTGCATTGGAGTTTCAACCATAACTTACTTTTTTGGGTGGCAGGGCAGTGTAAATTTGCTAATAAGCTCAACCAACACAAATGAAGCACTAATCTGCAAGTATGAGCTTGGGCTTCTGCCTTGCACCAGAAGCACAGCCTTGCTAGCAGGCCTTACAAAGTGTCACTGGTATGCACCTAGAGTAAGAACCCACAGAGAATAAAACAAAGTACTGACATGCTTTTGAAAATGTCCCGAAGACATAATACAAAAGTATGTGCATGAAGTTGACAAAGGCATTTTGCTCAACAGCAGCTTAAAAAAGTCAGAGGACGTTTAACATAACTGGAGGTTACTCATAATACTAGCACAGGGCAGTGCAGCAAAGTGACTTTCAGGTTATTAGGAGGACAAATTGAAAAACACAGTGACAAAAAGATGAAAAAGAAAGGTCTTTTAAATGATATAGTAAGATAAACTCTCCCACAGCAATACTGTGAGTGCTACAATCTGCATTCAGCTTCCTGAAACCAGATTTCTCTTCTTATTTCCTGACTATTTGTAACAGAGACGTATCATGATGGAAGGGGCTTCTCATTGAGAGCACAGTAGCATGACATACTAAAATATTTAGGTCAGAAAGCTCCTTTTCACATTCCTTTGTCTTATTCATAGTTAATGCATAAAATTAACGAGACACCATCTTTCCTAGCAGGAATTTCCACTGCCTCAGAGAAACATCCAAGTATCTGGCACCTGTAGAGCTCACCAAGAACACAGTCGTATCAGCAGTTTAACTCGTCATCTCTACTGAGAGGACTCTCCATCTAAATAGTGGGTAGACAGAAAGCTATCCCCTGCTCAAACTTCAGGAGCCACTTCTGCTTGAAATAGTGTGGTTTGTAATCAAAGACCACTTCAAACTAATGTATGTTTATTAACAGTAATGAAACACTGTCAGTATGAATACACATTGGATATAATTTTTAAATTAAATATTTCCACATCAAAAAAAGTATGTTTTCCCACTCAAACTTTTTTTGCTTCAATAGCTTGGTGGTGCTGGTCTCCTACACCTTACTGATCTGTCTAGAACGTAGAAAACCTGGGAACCCCAAAATCCATTTTCTCGACAAGCTTGATGCGAAATACCACTGACAGCAGCCATCCTATGGCACTGCATACCTACTGTTCAACCTCCCTTCTTCTAGCACCCTTCCAAAATCCTGATGAATAGGATGTATCTGCTGACTACAGAGCTGCTCAAATATTTCCTGATAATTGCTTATATGTGACAAAATGAAATCGCCATAATTGGGATTAATAACACAAAGTGTACATTCCCAAAAGACTGGTCATACTCAGTATACAAACGTAGGGGATGCAGGGAGAATTTTTCAATACAGAAATTCAAGAGATTGTAGGGAACATTTCATTACAACATGGTATAGGGCAATCACACTTAAAATGCTTATCTTTGATTTTTAATCAAATTAATTTCATACAACAGCATTTTGGAAAAGAACAATATCTATGCCTTGAATAAATATTGAAAAGTGTATTCCTCAGTTTCAGCTGCATTTGCATACATTTTTGTTTAATTATCATTACCCAAAAGAATTCCAGCCGGTCTAACCCATCTCGTACCATACAAAAGCTGTAGAAAAAAAAAATTGTAGCTTGTTTTAAATGTCTGGAATCTCCTCCCCTGAACACAGAGCCAAATACTGAGCTTATCTGGTTTCAAACTGCTCTTCTGAATTGCAGTGTGTTTGATTAAAATTTGTCTACTAGAGATTCACAGACACAACAGCACTTCTGCTGCCTGATGGTCCCAAAAGGTCTTTTTAACTGCCTTTAAGAAAGAAAATCACTGCAGACAGTTAAGCATACAAAACCATTTCTTCCTCACCCCTAAAAAGACAAAAAACCCCAAACCACCCCAACAGACATAAATATACCCCCAAACCGGAGACCCTGGGCTACCTGGCAAGATAAAACATGGACTGAGGAAAGATTAGAAGAGGCAAGTGACCCTCTGGAGGGTAGAAAAGCCACCAAACAAAACTGGAAACAACCATGTGGGAAGAAAATAAGCTCTCTTCTCTCGACACTTTTACTATCTCCAGCAAAGTAACTCACATGGAACTAAATACTTGCAAATGCTACCACAGAAACTATCTGTAAAGCATTCCATACAAATGCTGAGAGTAGTGTCCTTATCCACATGAATTCAGTGTAATTTAATTTGAGAAAGTAAATGATCTCGTTCACCCAAACACTTTGCATCAGATGTCGGCACTGCTTTTGCCTTTCAAAGGACTGTTCACAGCTACAATTTAGCATTGAGTTTCTGGGCTAATGAAAGTGCATCTAGGCTAGTAAAACAGACCAAAACAAATCCTCGAATTCAAGTCCTGTTGTGTAATGAGGAAGTTTAATTAAGGCCACACATTACAGCTGTAAACGTTCTCTTATATAATAAGGTCTAAATGAAACTGAACCTAATCAAAGTTACAATTCCTTCATTAGCAAATTACAAACAAGAGCGCACAGCTGACACACCGGCTATGATTATCACAACTAATTGCCTCGTTGTTACAAACCAGCCTGAAACTGTGTTCAGATGTCCGTCTGCAGTAGCAAATTAGGGCCACATCAGGCTATTTCTGCGATCACAAGGGGCTCTTGTAGAGCGATCTGATTTACCCTGCCGACTGGCAGCACACGGCCCAATCAAAGCCCCCTCTACAAAGGCAGCTTTGAAGCCAGCACAGCCTAGAAACCCGCTCCATATGCAGGCCGGCAGACTGCACTTCATTAGGCCTGTTGTCACATTTTCCCTCTTCTTATTCTAATGATCCTATTTTAATACACATAGGAACCCCTCCTAATTGATGTCAAGTGAGTGACTTCCACATTCATCACCAGAGCACATCAAACACATCTTGGTGCACGGGCCACCATCAGAGTGCTTAAGACCTGAGGTGTGTCTCCAACTACAGAAAAAAAAAAAAAAAAAAAAAAAAAAAAAAAAAAAAAAAAAAAAAAAAGGTATTTCGGCATTACCTGTTTAATTGGGATTGCGCGACCGCTTCCAATGCTATCTGTTCTGCTCTCCAGGACCTTCTTCTCTTTGTCTGGGTCACTCCCTTTCCGAGACTGTAGAGCAAAAAGAAAGTTTGTGCTCCATTAAATGTAACACTTCACACAGAGGATGCTCCCCCCCCCCCTTTTAAAGCAATTTTAAAAAGTATTTTGACACACAAATACAGACTGAAAGGGTGTGGATTAGAATCTACAAAAGTACACAACTGTCCCAAAATCTGAATACTAAAATACCACCTCTAATTTTTAACCATCCACTTGTTTGAAATGGCGTTTGGGTTTAAAGAGTTTCACTGCCTGAAGACCCAGCAGATCAGAGGACACATTTCTGAAGTCTCCAATAGCAGCTCTGAAGAGAAACTAAAGTTCCAGATTCTCATTAAAAAATCTGATATATAGATGCATATATTTAACTTACATCCGTGTGATTTTTAGAAATATTATCAACTACTTAAAAATGCGATTTCATGATGCTGGTTTTGATCACGTTGACTTTAACTTCCTTTTTTCCTACTTTTGGATGGTTAGAAAGTTGGAATTCCAAGAAAAGATAGCAACTGATGCTGAAAAAAGTTATCTGAACACAATGAAGAAAAATCAGCCCGAGGAAAATTTAACTGATGTTTAAAACCTGAATTGCCTGATAGTGGCTTTCTGCAACACTCGAACTGCTCTAGGAGCAAGCTCACTTCATGAATTTATAAAGTTATATAGGAATTTTAAGAAGTTATTCTGATTCCAGTCCATTATTGTGAAAGAACGCACGAGCATAATGATTTTGACAGATTTATTTTATTACAAAAAGAAGACCTGAGAGTCATCCTCCTTAATAACTGAACTGACAAGTGACAACTTCACTCCATTACTTTTCAATAGGAACATTACTCACACAATATCGAAAACGGGAAAACATTTTCATGCGCTTTTCAAATCAGAGATGATATATGAAACGAATAAATTTGCAATGTCCAGTACCACAATGGGACATTAATGAAAACCAGAACGACACAAGACCTCACTTTTCATTTTCAGCAGAAAGAGTTGTTTGAAAGACACTGAAATTAGGAGAACAACTCGGATCGCGGAGAGCTAATACCCATTTTCCATATTATACGAAGGAGTGGAAGGAAGAAAAAAAAAATCCCCAAAGCAGTTGTCTTCGCGCACGAGAGGAGGCTTCGAAGAGGAGGGAGAAAACCCACGGAGGAGGACTTCAAGTAACACTATTCTAAGCAACACATTTACCCAGCAGGGATTCCATGCTGATTTCCCTGCTCTGCCAGGAACGGGCTCCTATCACTAGTTACTATGGTTCGGGGCAATGGAATGACGTGCTGGGGAATTAAACAAAGAATAAATGAAAGAAAGCAAAACAAGTGGGAGGGATGAAATCCAATGTTCAGGATAACTATTGTTCCTCGTCCTTCAAGACAGATTTCTGAATCTGAAAGTGCCACTTCCCAATAATACAAGGCAAAACAATGCTTCAATGGTGCAAAGCGCCTATAAGTGACATTTTAAAGAAACTCAGTGAAGGTAGCCAAATCCTTGGGAGGGAAGTTGTCAACTTGAATGTTTCTTTTTTATTTGACTTCTTAAAAGAAAGGATCCTGCCTCTGAAAAGCAAGCTAAATATCTACACACTACTTCTCATATTTTATTTTTAAATCATCCCATTTTCAACTCCATAAAAGTAAATGCATCTGGAAATAATACATTGCACACAGAAGGGAAATATCTACATGCAAAATATTTTCAAATACTAAAAGTATAGAAACGTAGGAATTTCTGTTAGGCAAATTCTATTCTAGCTGCTTGTAATCGCAGAATGCATAAAATTTTCAAGGGGAGAATCTTAGCAGGCTCCACTATTTATAAAGACAAATCATGCAGTGAAAGAGAGATATATTCTGATCTTTTATGCTTTTGTACCTATGACACACACAATGCATCTTACATCCTATAGTGTAAAAAAATAGACTCTAAACCAACTGGATCACCGTTTGCTAGGACTTTTTCTGATGTCACATCTACATGTTAAGTTGTTCTATTTAAAACTTCATTTAAGCAAACCAGAAAAATTTAAAAAAAACTACAACACCCACATGAATACAATTTAACTCATTTCCCCTTCGCACTGGAAGTTGTATACAAACTTAGGTCAACATAAAAACTTAACCACATTATGTCTGTGAAATAAGATTTAGTCCCTGAGGGATACAGCACCTGAATCTGTGCACAACCAGAATCCAGTGAGTCCCAAAAGTAAGAATACTGATCTCTAATAGCACGTACTCAGACAGAGTTAATTTTAACTTTTAAAAGGTCTTGCTTGCAATTCTGCAAAGATGTAAGATAGGCAATACTGAATATGGGAAAGGAGATGCATCTTCCCGTACCAGAAGTTCATTCATCCCATATGGGATTGGACACGTAGTTATAATCAGTTCTTTGCTGAAGTGGACCTCATATGCATCTCGTATATAGTGCAGTGGAGATTTTATTCTGTTGTTCCTATTAATACACTGCACAAAGGACATTTACACCCTTCTGCTATTATTTGATCTATTTTATCACCTAAGTAGAAATTCAGATATTGCAAAATCAGCAAATAATAATATTCAAAGTAAAAAAGATCTGATGCTGTACTTAATGCATTTAAACATCAACATGCTTAAAATTCTTAACGCTGTTGCAACTCAAAAGCTGTAAATTAAGAAAAATATCGGTTTTCTACTTAACTCAATTTTCTTCGAACACTAAAAGATTTTCATGTAGGAAACTAAACATATTATCTATGCTGGATAACAAGGGGTAATTTGCAATTAAACAGAAATATATTCGATTCTGTAAGTGATAAAGGCATAAGCAAGTTAACAGGCTAGGAAAAAAGCATAGCAAGAAATCCAGAGCTAAACAGTAAAATATTTTGATTATGCACTCTGTAACTAGACAGAAAATACTGGTCATCTATTTATTCAATTAAATAAAATCCAGGTTATAACTTGGTTGATACGGCATGAAACCTGGATTACAGCAGGGTCAGTGTGAAATGCTTCAGGACATGGATTACAGAGCAACTCGTTACACAACATTTAGTATGCCCAGGTCTTAGAAGACAAAACTAATTCTGAAAAGTCGAGTTATTACTGTTCTTTTTTTTTCATAGGACTTTTTTCACCCCCTAGCTGTTAGATGTTAAAGATGATAGTTAACATCCTCCTGTATTAGTAAATTTGGTTCTCCCTGTGCTATTAATTATTGCAAACCGGAGCTTTAGTCTATTTGTTTATAGCAAATGCAGCTGACTTAACCTTTTCTGCCATTGCAGATGGGTATATTTTTCTCTATTAATTTTCTCAAATTTACACTTACTCCAATTTAAAACATGCCCAGTTTCCCAAGTGTCAACAACATCTATAGAGCCCTCACAGCATTTTATGCATCCTCAGACCAGAGATGGTCGAGGATTGCTTTTTAGGGATGCTGTAACATCTCGGCTCCATCTCCAGTTATTCTGCTGGCAGTTCCTGGGCTGACACTGACATCTAGTGGGGTTGGTAACAGCCGGGTGCATGGGAGGAAATCCACACCACTGCTAAAAAATACCAGCATCAAAACCGGACATTTTTCACATGCTACTCATTTTTGCATGTTGTATTGTTTTGCCCCTAGACATTTGCACCTAAACACAAATGCACGATTTTCATACCTTTGGGGGAGTTTGAAGATCTCATTTTAAATCAAAATATCACTGTCGGGATGGACACATGAAATACGATCCCTGGGACTTTGTGCTTCTCATCCAGCCCTCCAAATCGATGACAAAACTTTCTACTTGGTAGAGGCTGAGAGGTCAGATTTTATTTAGCGTACAAGGAAATGGTTTTACCATTTTTGTATGTGGTTCCCTGGATACAATCAAGGAGCAAGCTAGTTTTGGGAAGTGAACATTACATCACCTTTGGAATAAAAAAGTATAAACTCTTTACAATGACAGGGAAGTCGTGGCTTTCTAAACACAACTACACTCACCAAGGGACTTACATGCAAGTGCACATGGATTCTGTGTTTGCTAAAAAGCGTATTAAGTGCCAAAAAACTGCTTACAAAACCGCAATTACACACGCAATACAATCCCAAAGCTTTCAGCAAGACTGCTAAACTAAGGAAATCATCATTCAAGGATTCATTATCATCTCCCAAACTACTTATGCATAACAAAGACCTATAATATTGGACCACTCAAGCTTTCTATTCAGTTTAGTTTATTTCTATTTTTTTGTCTTTTAATGAAGCAAAACCAGATGGTTTGCGAAGAAAAAAAAATCATTTCAATCTCCAGCATCTCTCTCAACTCTGGCAAACTGAGTTGAGCCTGCACAGTAATAAAAGTAGCATAGGGTAGTTATTTCGTAGTATCATGTGAAATTTCCATGGCAAACACTAAGACCTCTCTACAAACACAGGAGACCTTGCAAGGGAGCCCTGAATCAGCAGCATTACTCAGTGTAAGGGCAGGACTGGGGAGCAGAGGCACAGCTTTCTCTTTGATTACAGCCAAACCAGGGAATCTAGAATGAAAGGTTAAAGCTCAGGTCTGAGAATTAAAATTGGACAAAGGCTCCAGAATTCACTTGGTTCACTGTACTTCCCAATAGGATAACTTGACTGTACTGAGTTTCTGTTTAAGTCCTCAAACAGAACCGCCCCATGGCAATTCTAAGATGTTTTCATTTTCAAGCCTGCAGATCCATTTCAACTCTCCTGTCTGGATTAGACCAGCTCAACACAACAGGGTTGAAGTTCAGGCCGTCACCACAGAGCACTACGTAAAATACAGCAATAGTCTCTTCCTTGGCTCACTCACCGTGAAGAGGTTGGATCGGCGCTTGGACTGTTTACGGACAGGAGTTGGTGTGTTGGCAGTGGGAGGAACATCAATCCGTAGCTCCTTCTGGCTGGTGCTTGGAGTTGATGGGACAGAGGAGGAATAATCACTTAAACTCCCTCCTCCATTACTGGTCTGCAAGGATTAAAGTTAGTTTTAAACAGTGATACACTGCTTTCAAGAAATTACAATCCACAGCTGTATCTTACTTATTCCTGATACACAAGAACAGCACCCTAGGCTCAGGAACACAGCGGGACTGCCCTACTGCCACTTTTCCACACATTTCTATTCCATGTCCTTAAATATTTTACCTGCCATTGTTTGTTGAATATTTAGAAAGTTCTTTTAATATGGCAAGCACATTTTCATTCTACACAATATAACCTTCACTGGATATAAACATTTTAATTTGATTTACATTGTGGAAAGTGTAAATTTTGGTTTTCTACTTCAAAATTGCTAAACCAATTTCTGCCTCAAACCTAAAAAACCCCCATCTAGAGCCATAGAACTGCATAGCTGGACTTAATCCTAGTCTGGAGACAGAAGCTCACCTAGAGCTAACAAAGAAAATGAAAATAATTCAACACTAAAATGGCTACTACAGTGATAGATAATTCCCAACATATTTGCTGAGAAAAACCATTGGTACAGAGATACAAAACTTTAAAGACAGACAATCCAATTTATTCAAAGTAGAAAAAAAAAAAGTTATATCAGTCTTGAAAGAAATAGAGGAGTTTGCCTAATAAAACTATTAATGAATTGAAGCAACAAGTTACTAATCGCAGGAATGTGAGGAAACCTGACAGAATGGAAAGGACCAAAAGATGATAAGAACAAAGTCTTGATTTTTTTTCTTTAAATTATTAGCCATAACATAAATGAATACTAAAACAGCACCATTATACAAAGGATGTGGAAGTAGTCTGGAAAGACAAAAGGACAGATTTTTCTCCCATCACATAGAAGTATAACCTCTGAGGATATACTGTATATGCTGATGAGGGACTGAGGCAGGGCAGAGGTGGAAAATTCTACACACTGTTGACAAAAAGCTCACCAGAAGAGCAGCAGTGGGTGAAGGGTCTGGACAACAACTCACATGGAACTTATGAGGGGAAAAATAAAGGTCTGTGATGCACACAAAAGGGTTAAAGAACATCTTTAAGGCAGCCAAGTTTCCTAAAAGAAGTGAGAAAAGAAGGTAAGAGGGTATTTCCAGGATGCCTGAAGAGAAGGGTTCTCCCACGACATTTAACCTGTTACTTAGTCTCATCTTACTTGCTGTAGGTAGGAATTCAGCAGGTACAGTTGCTGAAAAGGAAAAGCAGGTACTCCAATGTCTACTCTTCAGCATCACTCCTACACTAAGTGACTGGTCTTAGACATGCACAAAGCTGCTGCAGGGGAGAGGTACTCCTCCGGGGAGGCACCAGCAGCATGATGGGACTTTTCACACGCTCCTTGGAGGTCAGCATAGGGATCAGGATCTCAGGCTGCAAGCAGTCAAGAGAAAACCTCTGAAGGAAAACCAAGCAAGCAGGAGACAATCTTTTATATCATCCAGTTGAAGTCTCTTTTAATGTTTTCAAGTCCTCTTGTGATTCTTCCAGCTTTTCCAATATTTTTTTTTTTTAAACTTCAAGAAGCAAAGGACAAAAAGGAAGAAGCATGAGACAAGCCGCTCATGTTTGGGCTGAAGTGCTCACCAATGCAGGCAGAAATCCAGGATCACCACTTCTGAAAGTCACTGTTTCTCTGTAAACAACAACATGCTCATTTCTGTGTGACAAAATAGGATTGACAATATAGCAAATGAGCTTTCTGATGGAGAAAATTCTCTTCCCCTCTTTATAGCTATATATGCATATATATCTATCTCTATATATCTATATATATATCTATATCTCTCTCTCTCTCTCTCTCTCTCTCTATCTCTCTCTATATATATATATATATATATATATATATATATATATTTATATGCCATTAAATTTCCTCTTCCCTTCGTTCGGGCTGAATTGGCAAAGACTGGCTGTCAGGAAGCCAGAGGTAAGGGTACTGAAAGCAACAGAGGATCTGGAAAAAGTTTTTCTACAACACTTTCAAGTACCCACAGGAAGTAGCAAGCAGAATTTGGACAAGATGCAAGTATATAAAACAAAGGAGATGGAAGAATGAGAACTAAAATGGTAATTTTTAGTGTCCTAACAGAGAGCAATAACACTGGGGAGATAAGCTGGACAACCTGGGAAGACCTTAATTTATACCCTGCATTTGCTTTCCCTTTCTCTATGGCACCTTGCTGAGACACCAAGTAACAAACCAAACAGAGAGAAGAGTAAATGCCCTGCATGAAGACACACTGAGCCTGTGGAGGTCAGAAATTACCTCTCCAAAGAAACACAGGAAGGACTCTTAAATGAAAAACAGTCATGAAAAAAACATGTACCTAGGATAGTCAAAGTGATTGACCAAAGTCTGCCGAAGTTCAAAGAGCCAAAGACTTTGAAAAGGAGTACTCAGACCACCGGGCATGTCAGAGATTAGGAGGGTGGTATGGAAGCCTTAAAACATGGCTGACAAATAAGATATAGACAGTGAACATCTGGAAACGCAACAACTGTAAAATAGCATTAGGAAAGGAGACCAAAGAGGCTGGTGTGAAGAAATGGCTTTCAGACTAGAGTGGTGAGGACCACCTGAACTAAACCAGGGTAGGGAAAATGAGGGAGAAGAAAATCTAAGGAAGCAACCATTAATGGGAAAAGGTACTGAACACATTTAAAACTATGCAGATGCAAGGCTCACATGAAGAGAAAAAGAGATGACAGTAAGTTATGAAGATGGTGAAGAAAGATCACAACAGGGTGATGCCTCAAAACACCTAGAAGAAGCCTCTTCTACAGAAAGGAGAGGAAAAAGGCAAGAAGATTCAGATGTTGTACACTGATGACAGGATTTGAACCACAAGCTCCTGAAAATAAAAGGATGCAGCTATGTTCTGTTTCATAATACTGATCAATTTGATAACTATGCACCGCCATCTTTTTTCAACTAGAACTAACAAGTTTCTACCCTAAGAGCCTACTTCCCAGACAGAGCACATAAAGGATTCCATAAAATTTTACCTTTTTGACCTTTTGTCATCTTATAACATAATTTTATACTTTTTGCAGTGAAGCACTAACTCCTAGATTTTTAAGTTATTTATTTTCCAGGAGTGAGCAACTCCTAAAGGAAAACACATACATGTTGGGCATTCTAGTCCCCAAAGACAAATGTTCCTATAAAGACAGCTTCTACAGAAAGTCATGCAGGTAATGTTTCTCTTCACATATACTAACCTCACTGGATTTCCAACTTTGTAAATAAAATTCTGAAGTGGCTTCAAAATAAGCTTTGTCAAATCTACTGGCTGAAAAAAAATAAGCTATTTCAATAAAAGACTTAAAAGTAAAAAACTCTGAGGCTTCCACAGACTCAGAGCATGGCTACCAATTCTAAACAAGCTCCAACTCCTACTGAGGGTGCCAACAATTAACAAACATATAAAACTATATAGCTGCTCTGAAATACCTCAACAGAGAGAGTGGGTTTGACAAGAGCAGGCTCAGACATGACTTCCAAGTTACAGCCTGCACAGACAGGGGCAATGAAAAATGCAACCAGACAAGCACTTGGTAACTATAATCTTGGTAACATCTGAACCTTATGTGCTGTTGAAGGAAATAAAGCATGGCAAGTGGTCTCGGTCAGGTTGTCCGCTTGCACCAAATATAAGTCTAGAGATTTTGTCATATTAAGATTGTAAAGAGCAGTTTCCTGCCATCGGTATGGAAGCATTTAATAACAAGTTCACTGGAGTGAAGTACAGAATTTAGGACACATGGCAATAACTATAATTCACAGAAATTAATGTTTGTCCCAAGTCACAAAAATCAAGTCAGTGTATCTAAAGAAGAACCTTCCTTACCACACATGTAACCCAACACGTGTTATATATAAAGCCACTTGCTGACTGTAGACAAACTGGTCAAATTTGTGGCAGTCAAAACCAATCAAATAAGCACTAAAACCTGTTGGGATGCTACACAGCTTAACATTATTTACACAACCAAGTTTTTCCACTAAGCTGCTCTCAAGTCTTGGATGTACCTGAGACGTCAGCATAAAGGGCCATTTCTGAGTCACTGCTCTAACCAGAGTCATGGCAGTAGGGACAGAGGTCAACCAACTGGGCAGGGAAACTGTGAGCTCCAGTAGAACCATTTGCATAGCTACATCCCTGTTTGGCCTCCTTGGTTGACAGATTCTCCTGTCCTCATTAAGGCAGCATGCCCACTCTGAAACAGTACAACCTTGTCTTTCCTTCCTGCTAGGAAGATACACAGCCTGATGGTAGTCAATGAACTTCAGCACACTGTTAGAGAAAACCCTGCAAGTCTTTCACTTCAGGGCTATGTTATTTCTAGAACATACCTTGTATAAATGGCCAATGCTCCATTTACAGAAATGTTTACCTTCAGCATCTATACAGGTTTCTAGCTTTGTTGCCACACAGACAGACGCTGTGAAAAACTCAAGGTCATGGCACTAAGCACAAATTTAGCAGAATATTGTCACTACACTGTTACCAGACAACAACTCAGATGAAGCTATCAACCTGACATAACTTGACCAAACAGGTCCTTTCAGTTACCTCAAAGGTAGATACTGCCAATGAAAGTGTTAAAGCCTGTAATGAGATTCCTGCTGGTACTTCACAAAAACCCCCGAACTTTGTACACAATGTCCACAGTTCTGTTCAGAAAAAGGACCGAACCAAGTCAAATCACATACTTGGAAAGCTTTTATGTATTTCAGGTTTCCTTAGTAAACAAACTGGTGGGTAATTTACCTGGTGTAACAGGAGCTCAGCAGTGATTTGCATTAAGAAAAGGTTTGGCTTAACCTCATAATTGCAAGAAGCATGTTCCTGTCTGGCCCATTATACAAAGAAGGCAAAATATTCACCTTACATAAATTATCTTGTATTGCCAAATGGTTCATAAGGCTTACACAGTACAAATCTAAGGCCAAACCACCAAATGAAACCATAAGGAAAATAAAGCTGATATTTTTCTGCT